AGGTAGTGAGGAACCGGCAACTAAGAAGCGCCGTGTAGAAGAAATAATCAAGAAAAAATAATTGTATAGTCACTAGCATAGTCGTCATGTATCACGGGCTAAGTCCCGATCTTGTATTTATTTCTTGCATGTATTAATAAAAAATTTTTCTTGGCAAAAGCGATATGCGTTCCAAATTGGAACGGAGGCACATGTGATTTCGCTAAGGAAAAAGGATTTTTTAACTTGTGTATGCATTTTTTTCGTGTGGTATGTAATTGCATCGGAATAATAAAACTGATAACCATGAATTTATTCGAATTATCTTTGATTCATTTCAACTTTGTATGCATTTTTACATTATGACAATAATAAAACTCTAAGAAAAAGTGAATAGTGAACTTAGGAAAAGTTACCCATTAAAGTTAATCATCTAAGAACGAAAAAAACCTATTATCCTCCGCAAAATCACTTTTGCGAACTGCCACATTAGTAAGTATCCATGCACTGCCAATTGGTTCTTGTTGGGGTTGTGCATTAGGGTCGAAGAATGCATTGGGATGAAGTCTGCAAACGGCATCGCGTACGGTGTAAAGGTCGTTTAAATTTGGGAAATGGAATATACTGCGTGAATTCTCGTCTCTACGTCTATTTTGCGGGAGATTAACGGTTGCAAATGCGTCCATCACCTGTTGATAAACCACGTATGTGTGTTGGTTGATCCAGTTTTGATTTGGCACAATCATAAGGACAGGATCCAAAATATCCACTTTACTAATTTGTTTTTCGTACTTTCCAATATCTTCTTCGGAGGCTTGTGGAAGAATGGTCATAAGAGCCTCTCGGGTAGAAACGAACATTCTAGAAATAATGTGAAAAAGGTTAATTACAAATGGCTTGGATAAAATTACACATTACATACTCGTTTATGTTATCATCACCCGAAGTTCCGTCTGTAGGTGTTTGTTTAAAATTGTTCGTCATTGCTATTAAATAAAATTAGATTATCATTTATCTCACGTGCATCTAATTTTTTGATATTGCAATGCTCACCTCTTAATAATAATTGAACAACACCAAAAACGTTAGCAACAATAAAAGCAAGGGTGACAAATGGTAGAGCCTAAGGAAATGACAATGGTGGAAATGAAAACATTTAGAAAAGACAATAGAGATTAAAAAAAGTTGAAAGGTGTGAGAAGACAGACCAACCAGCCGAATAAAGAAGTCATTGGAAGGATCACAAAATAGGTGAACCAGGCAAACCATTCAATAGGCAATAATAGCGATAAGAATGAATTAATTTTTTGGATAACTTTTTGCAAAAACATAGTTTTGGAATTATTTTGAGAAATTAGAAGAGAAGCCTTAATGTTACAAAACAAAAGTGATATGAGTATTTATCCAGGGGGTATTTAATAATGCGACTTACGAATTATTGTTATTAATAATGTGAAATCAATTATCAAAGGATTTTTTAACAATCACAGATAAATTCTCAGCGGAGCTTTAATTTCTGGAATTGCTTGTAACGGTGATTGGGACAGATCATGAAGTCGATAATATTATGTTAATATAGATAGTCACTTTGTAAAACAAGTTTATGTATTACCGAATCTTGTAATTTATTTTTTTACATCAATAAATCAGTAATTCCAATGAGGATATTACCTTATTTGTTTTATCTATGCTAATGAACTTTTGAATTATTCCATCTCATATAAAAAATTATTATTGAACATGCAATCCACTGATTCATTAAGAGAATTAAATGCTAAGCTCTTAACTGAGATTGCTGAACTTAGGAAAGAGAATGCTGAGATTCCTGAACTCAAAGAGAAGTTACTAAGATTTGCTAAGGTTGAGGTTGAGAATGTGAGGCTGAAGCAAATTATTGAAGAGAATGCAAGGTGTAATGCTGAGAATGCAGAACTCAAGTCTAGAGTTGGAGAGCTTAAGGCTAGACTTGCATTATTAGAACAGGATTCAGCAGTGGATGGGATGGCATCATCATTTGGTCAGACACAAAATGGTAAAGAAGCGATGGCAGTAGTGATAGTGCCAACTGTTGATGAACCAAATTCTGTAATAGACCAGCTTAATAATGAAGTAGGACAAGCATCTAATGACCTTAATGGTAATGATGAGGAAATGGTCGATTTTTTGGATAAGACGTATAAGCGAAGTATTAGCAATAAGATTAGAAAGAAAAGGTGGGAAAAGAAGCAGAAAGATCAAGAGTCACTTATAATTTCTCAGGATGTGACTAAAATTTCTGAGGTCACAAACATATTAACTTCAGAGCAAAATAAGCAAAATTTATCATAATCTTATGAGATTAGTCCTGAGAACATCTTGCATTTTATTAAAGTAACCGCAAGTTAATGCAATCAAATTAGCATGTAATTTTGAAAACTGTGAAGATTCTTCATGATCAGAGTCATGTAACATGAAGGAACTTAAATCTGATCAGCATGATAAAGTTATTGTCAAGTTAAATAAAAATATAATTGTGAAATAGGAGTTAAAGTAACAGTTATCATTACCTACACATATATTTACGTCAGATCAAACTTCAGAAGAATAGGATCCATCTTCAGATATCACATAAAATATAGTTTACATGTTCAGAAAAGCTAATAAGTTTGGTTAAGAAGCAATTTTATATTGGTATTACTTTATAAAAAAATATGATAAAAGGATTAATAACGTTTTCTGGTGGAGTTAAAAAAAAACTGTAACATTTATAGTATATCAAGAAATCAAACAGTTTTTATTTGATATAATAGATGTGAATTTGCGTTAAAAAATCCTTAAAGCTAAAAAATTATATAAATTATTTAATACATTAGAATTAAAGAAATTAAACAGATCTCTTATAGCACAGATGCTATTTCGAGCCTCAATTACTTACAAATACAAAATATTAGATCATGTAAATTCAGCGATAAGTTCACACAATAAAACTGTGAAGATTCTTCACAATCAGAATCATGTGACTTTAAAAATTAATCCAACTAATGCATATATTTTTTCAAAAGCTGAAGCAAATACATCAGTAAATGTATTATCTGCAACCCAATCTAAGCCAATTTATAACTGATCCTATTTTCCCAACAAGATATTGGATCAATATCCTAATCTATATAGAGAATATATTAGTAAAAATTTTGATTATTATGGGATTACTAATGAGACATCATGCGAAGTCTCAAGAGAAACCATCTGTCCGTTATGCAAATTAGATCATGATGATAAAGAAATAGAAGGTAGATATAAAACTAAATCTTACTTTATTAAATATGAACAGCGTAAAATTGAAATAATTATATAATCTGATTATTTTAACTAGAGGCGTTTCCTATATTTGCTTTGTTTCATTGTGATATTTTTTAGGGATAATTTATATCAACTATTATCTACTGTAATTTAAATTGTTTGCAGTCATATAAAAATTTAAATGATCAAGTTCAATAAAATATTAACCCTGAATATCTGGATTAGCATATCAAATTAAATGAATTATCAAGCATTTTGATAGATAAGATTCGTTCTAATTTATATAAAAGATATAAAAAAGAAACTGGAAATGAACCATAATAATTATCAAAAGCTATGACAATTTTAGCAAAATCTCAAGCCTCTGATTTTAAGCCTATCATCTTTGATGTCAAATCTGATCCAAAATTAATTATCAAATCTGTTTTAAAGCATTTCACATACCTGAAATTCTAAAATAGTTTTAAAGAAATTGATAATTATAATTTTGCATTACCTCAGCTGTGAAGTTCACTATATCCTATTTGCAATAGAAAATATGGGAATTATGGATTATATGATGAATGGTATGAAACAGAATATTGTCTTACTTGCTTCATTTCAAGCAATAAATTCAAATTTGCAATTGTAGCATAATGTAATATCGATCACCTGAAATGCGTAGAAGAGATTTGGTAAAAGAATAAGGCTATATAACATAAGATTAGCATATATATATTCACATTATTTCTAAAAAAATTTTTCCTTTTTTGAGGTAAACAAAATTTCACAACCTGTAAATACGAATATTACAACTATGTAAATAAGCAAAATAATGGACATACTCACTGCATATCTTAGTGTAAGAAAATGCCAGTAAAATGAAAGTTACTTAGCGAAGTATCAGATAAGACATTATATAATTAAGAGTAGGTTTACTTTCAGTTTAGACTAAGATAGCGTCTTCAGAGCTTATAACTAACATATAGTTTCCCTTTCAAAATTATCGATAGCATTACGACTGATAAATGAAGATTAAGATGAAAAACAATAAATATAGCAGGTTATTGAATGGTAGATAGAATAGATGCAATGAATAGGATAGTCTATTATGCATGAAGCAGGTCCCTTTAAGACTAGTGCTTTTTAACTATATTATAAGTAAAGTCGCTAGCATATAATTTATTTGATATATTGCAAATAAAAAGCTTGCATTGATTAACTCTTCGTATATAAATAGCAGAGTAATAATGAATAAATTGATAAGGATTATTTATGCTGATAGTTTGATTGTACATACACTAATGCAGAGCATTTAAGGATAAAATCTTAATTCGTAATTAATAGTGAATTTTTAACAAAGATCTGAGATTTTTCTTATTTTGCAACTATCTCTAGATCCTTAGACTCTTAGTGTAAAAAGTGCATCTATTTACACTAATTTTAGGCTATTATTTTATCTGCAGATCAAAGAGAAGTGAAAAACTGTATAAGTAGGAGATGGGTGTGAAGAGTGCATGAAAGCATTTATTTTATCTCTACAATTCACTACTATAGCTAGTGAATCTTTGAGCATCACTATAGTCAGTGAATTTTCGATTAGCACTTCAGAAATTCAAACAGATACTTTTAAGCCTTCCCAAATCAAAGTATTTGCATTAAATTATTTTCAAAATCAAAAGATTTCAACTATCTCTATCAGAATTCTGAAACTTAATCCTTGCAATATTTACCAAAGTGTAATCCTAAAATTCTGATTTCAATCATTTGTTGTATTAGATTGTGAACTTCTTTTTCACTGCCAATGTCTTAAGAAGTATATTATGTAAGCAGAAACTAAACTACTTTTTACATATCTTTTGTGTAATATAATTATTGAGCTAACTAGAGAAGAGACAGTACTCGCTTCTGAAAAATATCATCTTCAGAAAAAATAAACTGATATTGGACAGGATAATAAGGAGCTTATGATTTCACTAAGATTGGTAAAAGGTAGCTCTCGTATTAAACAAAGATATCAGTTGAAGCAAGTCACTATGCAGGATCAGGTGTCAAGTTCAATCATGATTGAGAATAAGGATGATAACCAGTCTAATTCTGTTGATAATAGGTAAGCAGAGCAAAATCTATGCACAATATTTCTAATCATTATTGCATATATTTAGTTCTTATGCTCGTCTTTTATATATCTCTAGAATTCTAAAAAATTAAGTTAATTCTAATGATGAAATTTGTATTACTAATATACAGGATAACTTAAAGAATTAATCTAATGCAAATAGCGGAAATAACACCAATGTGCAAGAAAGTGAATCTCAATAAAGAAGAAATTTATCAAGAAGACAGACCTCTCTAAGGATCACTTGTGAATAAGAAAAATTTCAGATCCTGTTGCAAAAATTATCTACGCCTGCCAAGGGAGAGAAAGCTAAAAATATTAATGAGGAGGAAGATGCTGATGGATCTGTATTACAAAGTTTAGTTCAATTATATCAAAGGTAACTTGTATTGGATTACATTTTATAAAGGTAAATTAAGATAAAATTTCATGTTGATATAAATATGCTGAAGGGTTCAAAAATAGGATTAGGAAAATTAGATCTCAAGATTCATCAGTTACCAATCTAACAGCTAGAAGTTGAGCATATTGCAAGGTTGCTTTGCATCTATTAGGTATTACAGAAGCAAATTTGCATAAGAAAATCTAGAAGGTAAAGAATATATACAAGTGTTTATAAGAATAGGAACAAACAAAATCAAGCAGGTGAAATTATATAATACTGATACTATTTTAAGCCTATTTACTATTCAAATTCAAAGTATTATAGACCGTTTCTCTATATAATCATCTATCACGTAATTCTGTGAAGATTCTTTATGCTGTCACGTGACTACTGCACTTTATGTTATTATAAATATTTCTGCTCATATTTACTATTTTACATTATTTATAAATAAAGTTAGTTTGCTTATATTTTAGGCTTTATTTTAACGTGTATACGTGTATATGTATTAGAGTAATAAAAAAAGTTATTTGCCGATTCATTGTACTTTATAAGATCCAAAAACTTCTAAGATAGGTCATAAGCTAAAAAAAATTTTTTTATATACTTTTGATACATTTTTATTTATTAAGATAGTGATACAAATCTAAATTATAACTTATTAAAATTAATAAAATAATATACATTCAACCTATAATATTATAATATTATAATATTTATAATATAAAATTTATTAAATCTTGAATCTATTATAATTAAATTTTGGTTATAATATTACGAATTTCAATATTATTAAGATTCAAAAATATAGTTTTAACTATTCCTTTTAAAAAAAATATTATTTTCTAATTAGACATCTGATATTCCAATATTATAAATAATATGTTTTGGATTACAATGCAAAAAAAAAGAAAAGTTATTACCAAATTTGTCTGTAACAAAATCTGCAAAAATATGACCTTGAATATATGTAAATATTTGTAAAGATATATATAATAATTTTTGAATATCTGTTATTGATCAAATTACATAAGAATGAAATTTGTCTTTTTGCTTATATATTGCAATTATTTTTGTTATATGTAATTGAGTACTAAAAATAATAATAACAAATGCATTAGTAATAAGAGGAAATAAAGAAGTTACATTTGTAATTTCTAATTATTCTAATATAAAAAAAAATTATTATTAATAAAATATAATTAAATTAACAATATAATAAATAAATATCTAAACAATTTAAAAATTTTTTTATTTGATTACACATTTCCAAATAATTTGTCTAATGATTTTGCACTTTTTGTCATTTATACATTTGAGTAATTATTTTATTATTGTTAATCAAATAAGTACATATATTATTTGCAATATTTGATTAAATTAAAATGTTATTTTTTGTTTCAATATTTGTTTGATAAAATTTTTGTTATTATAAAACTCTATATATAAAAGCTTTATGTAATCTTCTTTTATTAATTATTACTTGTAAATTTAAATCATTAGTTGATAATATATAACTAGTAAAATTTATATTTAATAAATATATATATGTTGTAAATATAAAGA